TTTTTTTTTTTTTTTTTTTTTTTTTTTTTTAGTTATTCTATTACTGTGATACCAAACAACTTCTGACTCAACCTCGTTACAACCTCTACTTGCAAACTTAGGTGGCTCCTCCCAACACAGATTATTATCCTCACTTAGCCAAGCAACTTTTTAGTACAGAACTAGGAACACCTCTTGTCTGTTATGGGATTTGATGAAGTTGTACTAGAGTTGTCACCAAGACTGATTGTCCCTTTTTTTATCAGATCACCGTGGAGGTAGATGCATCTGGGACTGCAGGTCTAACAGGCCACTGATACCCTTACTCTGGCAGTGAGATATTGGTTATGCATCCAAAAGCATAAGTAATAAAACTAATTATTGCCACTTGATCGTCTGAGCTACAGCTTTCCTGAAGCTGAACAGTACTTGGCTGTCCTGGTCAATTTTGCTTTTTCTGCCTCATACAGCTTGAACTTCAGTTGTAAAAGAAACTGAATGGCAGAGTTTGTGAGCAGCTCGCTATCTTTTAGCAAAAGTAACCCCACACAGATTATTTAATTTTCTACATTTTTTGGATTTTCAAAGGCTGCAAGGTTTACAGGGTTGTTCACAAATAGAAATTTAGTGCTCTGTGCCAAACTTCTACTGGACATGACAACTGCATTACCAACTCTTACTGAAGTGACTGAAAAACATCCTCAAATAGCTATCTGATGCTTGTAGCCTATTAATGCTTTCTCTTTTAGGTGCAGATCAGGGGTTATTAAACACCTTCTTCAGCAGCTGGGCAACAACAGACATGAGCAAACATCTACCATTTATTTATAATTTGAGCAGCACTTCTGTATATTCCTACCTTCCAGCATTTAAAGCGTAAGTTCAAACTTTTTAGAAGATTTTCAGAGCTTACATAAACTAATTTCTTGTAACAGAATGAACAGGCATGATGTGAGCTTACATAGGTTTTCTAGAAGGAGACTGTTATTGTCACCAAATATGTAATAGTTTCTTCTCTTAAGAAAAAACAACTTGAATTAATGTAAGTCAAATGAGTTATCTCCAGATAAATGCAGAGAGAGCTGTATCTGTAGCTTAAACCACTTATCCCTGGTAGTAACACCAAAATTTAGAGTAAGTACATTTGACAGGTCACTTGCAAAAGGAAGAACCACTTCTCCAGTAGGGACACAGTCTAGTACAGTTCTAACCAATGGCAGTAGATTCTTGAATCAACTTGAGCTGGTATTGTTCCCACTTAGGTAACTTGCCCTTTTCTCACTCAAATTACTTAAGGTGTTTAATAGCCAGTAGTTAAAGTTCATCTAATCAGCCTACACCATTCAAATAAATGTGGTGAGCAAAGACTTGTATAAAGCTAGAATTCTTTCTGAACAGTCTAGACCTCTGTCAGTTCTTTAAGTAACAGCGCTATGGAACAAAGTCTACAGCCAACCACATACCATCACATGTTTCCTCTGTGAGGAAAACTGTATCCTTCCTAGCTAGCAGTATTAGATTTGGCATGTACATAAACTATGTCAGAAGCAGGGTCAAAGAGTTATAATAACACAGAAGGAAGGG